ATGCGCCGGCTCGTCGTCTGCACCGGCGCTTGCAATGCCGGCGTTCTTTGTGTGCCCCGTTTGCCATCATTTCGATCGGTCGTCACACGTGCTCCTCTATCTTTCACCGTCTTCACGAGACGATCTTCTACCGTCTTTACGAGACGATCACTACCGTCCTCACGGGACGCGGATTGTTGCGCTGACGGTCACGATGGGCATTTCGAAGTTAAAGACTCGGCACGCGTTCGGTTCAAGAAAGCGTCAGCTGAAGCTCGTACGCATGGCGAAGCTCACCTGCACGCCCACGCGCGGCGACAGTTGCACCGATGCTTCCGCTTCATCTTTTCAAGACGATTGCGTCGACGCTTCTAGCGACGAGACTTCTACACCATCGGCACAAGGATCCGTCGTGACGAGTGAGGCTGGTGTTTCGTGCTCAAGTGCGCCTGGTGTGTCGCGCTCGCCAACCGCATTGATTCCGGCCCCGAACAGTGAGACCGCGTCGTCGACTGTGCACATCCAAACACGTTTTCGGACGTGCGAGGAGTTGGCGACGGCGGAGAGAGAACGTGCTGCTGTGCAACGAAAGCTTGGCGCTATGCCAGCGACCGAGAGGAAGTTTCAAGCGATGATGCCTGAACCCGAAGCTGCCACCGCTACGACCGAAGGCGAGAGATATTTCCTCGTGCAAGGGGATGCCCTTAGCGACATGCTGTCCAAGACCCCGTGCCCGCGCTGCCTCGCGACCGGGATGAAAGTTCAAGGAGGCACCCAGCTTGGACTTGCCACGAAGCTTGAGCTGGTATGTCCACATTGTGGAATAGTTTCAAGTTCGTGGAGCTCTGCTCGTCAGAACGAGTCAAGGGCCTTCGACGTGAATATAAGAGCCATTACGGCCATGAAACAAATAGGGAAGGGACAGACAGCCCTCAACGACTTTTGGGCAACTATGAATGTTTCCCACCGTGGCCTGCACCACAGAACTTTCCAGAGGCACCTGAAGCAATTCAGGGAACCACAGCAACAGACCCTGGATAAATTCTATGAAGAATCGGCTTCTGCTGTGAAAAAGGTGTACAAGGAGATGGACCCATCTTTCTGCAAGGACATTACAGTGAACTATGATGGCACGTGGCATAAGCGCGGACATACATCTCACATTGGAGTTGGTGCAATCATCGAGTATCACACAGGCCTCATCTTGGATGCTGTAGTTTTATCGAATCAGTGTCTCGGCTGCCAGGTAGGACCGAAGCCTGAAGACGAGGGCTATGCAAGCTGGTTGAAGCACCATGTGTGCCAAAAAAACACTGATGCCAAGTCTGGGAGGATGGAGGTTGAAGCAGCTGTAACTCTGTTCTCACGTTCACTGTCCAAGCATAACCTCCGGTATACAACCATTGTATCTGATGGGGACAGCGCCACATTCTCTGCCCTTCAACAAGACAATGTTTATGGGCTAGTCCCTATTGTGAAAGAAGAATGCTTGAACCATGTCCGGAAGAGGATGGGCACAGGCCTACGTAATCTTGTGCAGAAAAGCGAACAGGCTCTGGGAGGGAAGGGCAGATTGACAAAAGCCCTTATTGATAAACTCACAGACTATTATGGCTGGGCACTGTGGAACAATTCAAACAATGTGGCTGCAATGCAGCGTGCAGTGATGGCGTCATATTATCACGTCATCTCAACTGACGAGGATCCTCACCATGACTTGTGCCCGGAAGGTGCAGACTCGTGGTGCCGTCATAATGCCTGCAAGGGGAATGGCGTGCCACCTCCAAAGCACAAATACAATCTTCCGGGCTACGTTGCAGAAGCGCTGCTGCCAGTCTACTAGCGCCTTTCGCAGGCTTCTCTACTGCAACGCTGCCTGGGAGCAAAGACGCAAAATGCATCGGAGTCATTCCATTCTGTCCTATGGTCCTTGATGCCCAAGGAGCAACATGCATCATTGATTGCTGTCGAGACAGCACTGCATGACGCAGTTTTGCGGTATAATGCCGGCTGCTACAGGGCCACCCAAGAGTTGTCGTCATCAGTGGGACTCACACCTGGCCACCTAACCATTCAACGAGCTGCAGAGAAAGACTCTCTGCGTCTGAGAAAGGCTCAGAAACGGATGAACGAGAAGCAGGAAAAGCGGCAAAGAAAAAGAGAGCCTAAGGACACATCTAGATACTCTGCAGGGTCATTTTAGACCATAATAAATGTTTGAAACTTTCGAAGTCAATTTTCTCAGAATGACTTTTTTGGCCAGTGAGGCTGCTTAGTCAGGTGATCTCTCTGGAACTGCTGGTCTGATTTCTATCAGGTTTTTTTTATTATGCACCTTAATAAATTGCCCAGGGCAAGACAAGCCCGCTTTTTCAATTTATTGTGTCTGTAATTTGTAATAATTAACTAAAACTTCATTGATGAGAGCCAAATTGTGAACACTAAATTCAGTGCTCTGCTAACATTTTTTGGCAAGGAAATTTAAGAAAAGGGCTCTGTCTTGCCCTAAAGCACCTATCCAGGAATCATCATAGTGAATTTCACAGTGCTAGCACATTTTTCAAATTCTCCAGACCCTGACTAAGGGACCCATGTGAACTACCCTGATAAATGGCTGTAACTTGGGAACCAGTGAACATAACTGCATGAAACTTAGTGGTTATTCAAATGGCTTTGCTATTAGTGTACCCTGAAAATTTCATTAAGATATCTCAACAAACAAAAAGTTGCCCTTCGAAGGTAGCCTCCCCCCTTAAGAGACAAACAATGGTATAACTGGATTAGGCGTATACCCTTTGTTGGGAGTGGGAAACCATACGAAATGAGACCGTATCATCGTTACACTCTATTCAGTATACCCTGCTGTTGTGGTTTTCTATTTTAATTATACAAGAATGTAGCAGCATCTACGTTAGCTGAAATATATGGTTCTCCAAAGAGCGTGGCCTTCTTTGAGCACTTGCAGCTTACTTCGATGAGTCGTATGTTTTTTACAGCGAAAGCTATTACGAGACCACAACAACAGTCACATGTGCCATAGTTGTCCACTGCCAGTGTCCGTAACCACTGTTGAGTAAATTAAGAAAAACAAAGCTAAGTAAAGAACAATCACGGACACAATGAAATTCGAACCGGGGTCCCCTGAATAGCAGTCGAGTATTCTACCACCGAGCCACGCCGGTGCTTGAAACTCCATTGCAAAAAGCCTTAGGCATGCAGGTTTTGTGCCGGGAAAGGAATCGCCTTAACATGGGAAAGGAATCGCCTTAACATGAGCAATGAAGCATTTTAAAAAAGCAAAGGAACAACCAGATGTCACACAATAAAAATCGCATAACTAGCGGTGTCACAAACATCGAGCATTCACGACTGCGTGCCCCTTCATCGAAGGGAGGGCGCCCTTGAATTTGGAAGACTTCTAGCAACTAACGACTCAGTAATGGTGCCGTCGCGTCTTCCCTGCAGAGAAGAGGGCATGTATGCATTCGGGGGGATGCGTACGCCCCGAAGAGAATTAAACTGCTTCGGCAGCTGACGTTCAACCAACGAGAAGAGCAGTTGTCGGTGTCATCAGCCTCGCGTAGGCGGCGAGCATGGAGCTCAACATATTGAGAGGGCTGCAACACTGGGCACCCTAGTTGTCCGCTAAGCTGGCGAGACCATAAGCGGCACCCCGTCGAACTCCCTTACGTGAACCATGAGCTGGACTGGTGTGTATAGAATTTTGCATTATCATTTATTTTAAAACTGTTATTTTTTATTATACCCAGCTTTACATATTCAGCTGTGTACACTGTGTCGCACATAAAAACTTAAAAGCTCAAGCATGACCTCTTGGTAGTTCTTTGTATCTCTTTTAGTTTCCATCACGTCCACTTATTTTATTTTTATACCACATCGCATATATTTGTACTTTTACTGTCCTTTTAGAGCATACTTGTTTTGTAACTGTTCTTTTCATCACATATTTTTGTTGTCTCCTCTTAGTTAACTTTTGTTCAACTCCTGCCAATGCCCTTGTTTTAATTAAATACTTGTTTGTGCTTAATCAAATGGACGTGTTAGCTTTGTGTAGGTCAGTCAGACCCAAACATCACTACATGTGCAACCCCGCACAGATCGACCGGCCTGCAAATAAATTTGAAATGTACTAATTGCAGGCCTAAACGTAAAGTGGAAGCCTGGGAATCTCCTGCACGCCGCTTTCAGATCGGCGGGGCCTCACTACAAAGTTGTTGAATGCAGCGACCTATGACAAAAGCTTCAGGCATAGCTTTTCATCGTATTCAGCCACAGATTAGGAAAAATTGCAAAAAATTCCTCGCAAGTGTGTAGCAGATACCACGTTCCTCCTAAGAATGATGAAGGATGGCATAGTGAATGCCTCCCTACGGCACAAAGATCGTGATGATTTATGGCTTAGTGGGTTACTTAAAGAGTGTTTAAAAAAGGTTTTGAAAGGCCGCTCTCCCAGCTTTCACTGCAACTGTGCTGCAAGTTCCCCACATGCCTGGCAATTTTTTTGTTTGTTTTAAACCCTTAGAAGTTTGCGACAGCATCGTTGATGTAAGTAACTGCATAAATGAAACCTGAAGCTCTGTCACATTGTGCAGAGCTACACAAGTACTCTGCAAACATAAAAAATCCATGTAGCTACTCTGTCTCTGCAGGCCCTCAGGTACTTCGACAGCATCGTTGATGTAAGTAACTGCATAAATGAAACCCGAAGCTCTGCCACATTGTGCAGAGCTACACAAGTACTCTGCAAACATAAAAAATCCATGTAGCTACTCTGTCTCTGCAGGCCCTCAGGTACTTCAAAGGGCCAAGAAAAAGTTCTAATGAGCCTTAATGTCTGCAGAAGCAAAGTCCTCAATACTGACTCTCAACATTTGGATGTTGGGGCAATTCAAAGCAGTAGTGCTTGAAGTTGGCCATTGTAGTGTCGACCTTCACACCCACGGGACAAGTAAAAGTATTCACACAACACTGTGCCCCTTACTAGATGCCTTAAAGCTTACCAGTATGCTTGCCTGTTCTGGCTTCAGCACCTCGCCTTCCTTGCACACCTCATGGTCCTTCACCAATGTCACCACACCTGTCAATGCAAGTAAATCATTGCAACACTGTACAAAGCATGTTATGGAAATTGCAACATTCACAAAACAATGCGATGTGACATGAAGTCTGGTTATTATGTATATATAGTGTGTTGAAGGAGCCCAGTGATAATACTTGGTCTTGACACTACGGTCTTTTAGCAAGTTACAAAAACACGACACACAAATACGGTAAGGCAGTAAGGTAGCACTCCTGCTTTCCATAGAGAGTGCATCAACCATACAACAGGTTCCTCTATAATACGTAGGCTGTAGGCCAAAACGAGCCGTGACAGCCCCACAGTAATTTTTGAAAATGCTCTTGTGTTGTTTGGGTGCCTTTACCGGTTGAAGGTTAATGACAGGGAAAGGAGTAGAGGTACGAGATACCATACCATAATTGGGTACCGTAATTACGTACCTTGTTAAGAGACCCTGCTTTCGGAATGTCTAAACGTTTCAGAACATCTAAAATGTCATTATTATCAACAGCAGGGCTCCTCTTGGAGAGAAATTAAGGTAAATGTAAGACACCACACGCACCACAAGCAGGGCTCCTCTTGGAGAGAAATTAAGGTAAATGTAAGACACCACACGCACCACAAGTGAGACATTTTGAAATCATCTCAATGACATCAAAGCGTCCGACAACAATTAACCACTAGTAATCAAACCAGTTGCACACAAAAAAAGAAAACCTTCAATGCATTGCAGCACGTCATAAAGTTCAGCTTTTCCGTTTATGTTTGATTCATGCAAAAAGAACCCCTTGGCGTTACTATGAGGAATGGCACAATAGGTTCAAAGGTACTATTTTCACTTGGTTAGGCTGGATGGATGGTGCCATCTAGTGGGGCCCACTTCAACAAGGCAAGCACAAAATTTTTTATTGTGAAAACATTGTGCATTCTACTTCTGGTGTAAATATGTTTCAGCGATGTACTCACAAATAAGTGGCCTTTTTAATAATTTTTTTTTTTCAGGAATGCTAGGCAAATACAAACGTGTCAATGATTGTGGTTGCACAGAACAGGATGAGATGTCGACACCATTGCCCAGTAACCCTGTATTCCTACAACCCTTTGCGTACGTCGGCAGCCGAGCAGTAAAACGGGCAATGTTAGGCAAGGCAACTGCTACGTTAGAGAGGCCTGTTTTCAGCTGGGCGACTTGAACTGAGCTAATGCCGTGCGCACCACTAACACGTCATTTTATTTCAAAATAAGCATTTCCTTGGCATGAAAGTAGTACAACGAGGTTTCTCGATCGCTAGTTCAACCATTAACAACGGCTTATTGTTTGCCTTTAGTGCCCCTTTAAAAATGAATCAGAATGCATTTGATTGGTTATAGAAATATAAAGTTGGAGAAATTTTTCACAAAGATGTGGCAGGAATGAAGGTATGGTGGTCACAATCGATCTTTTTACATTCTCTCCCAACACCCTTCGTTGGGGTAGCACCTTTGCATGTGCCCTTTCCGGCGTAGCGTTATGGCACCTGGCTTCAATGTTACGTTTTTGTCTTTTTATGCAACTTGAATGTGCTGATGGATGCTACAGGCAACGCATACTTCTTGTAGCCTGCTTCCCTTATTAGAGAAGGGAGAAAAAGTGTTTGTTCCCTTTCTTTTACATGTGCACTATAAGGCATATGTACGTACATAAAACATCTGTCCCGCCCTGTGTGGTTGGGTACTTTCTCTGTGCTCAGCTTGTTCTCAACCTTTGAGCATGAACTGAGCCTATTACTCAACAAATGGGTTTCGACCTTTCGAACACTAGTGCCCACCACCAAGCTGATCAGCATCTATGACTGAGCCCAGTGGTGAAATGCATGAGAAAATGCGCGTCTGCTCGGAGCCTCGACTAGCAGTACGTGCACTAGGCTGTTCCAGGAATCAGACACCACAATAATTCTTTTGAGCACTGCTACCGTCATCCTTCATTCCTTTTTTGAATGGTACCACGAAGCTATGAAGAAATCAGTTTCAACGCAACAATGAAGCAATAAATGTGAGAACAATAAATTATTTGATACACTGTAACGCCGGCAGCTCTCTTGGATTTGATGTCACGTAGCTCTACAAAAATGTCAGGGAGCGATGCTCTTTTTGCACAGTCTCTTCGCATTGACAGCATAACACGTAGAAAGTTTTACGAGTAGGCTTGTGGGAATATTCAAACTGCTTCCAGTATTCGAACGAATATTGCTGTATTTGAATTCAGTACAGTTTGAATTTATATTACAGAAATTTTTTCAAAAATGAACGAATAAATGTATAATAATTCACATGTAAGCCCGGGTAAAGATGGTTTCTCTGCAATAAAGGGGTGCTAAGCTGTGAAAACACCTACTTAACATAACTTTCTGTAAAAGTTATTTCTCTGCAGTGAAGGACTGCCAAACCATGAAAACATTTATGCAAAAGAAATCCACTCTGCAAGTTCCCCTCCAAGGTTATAAGAACATTATACCCTCACAACGATTCATCAATTTTTTAAGGTTCAAATGCTTTTTATTCTGGCTTATATGCTATAAGTATAGTAAATTTTAAAACATAACATAAATAAATTTTAAAACATAACATACTTTATAGATTATCACTTGTATTCAACCAAAAGTCAAATCTCTTTACTATACGGAGTTGTTTCCACTTCCTATGAACAACAAAAAAGGCATTTATATGGGAATTGTATAAGTTTAAAAAGAATACAGTGGAACTCCAATTATATGACTTTCAGAGGACCACTCAAAACTGTCGTATAATCTGAGCATTGTATAACTGAAAAACTAAAATTATGGGCAGTGACACTTAGCCTTGCCCCCAAAAATGGGTTCAGGCTGCCTGAATAAGCCCACGGCAAGACCATGTGCCTCCGCAAGGAAAGTAGATTACATTATTTTTGCCAGTGGCACCTAATGGCAGCATTACTCAGTTAGAGAAGGTGCGGGCAAATCTTTATGCATAACTTAAAAAAAAAAATCAAACACAACAAGCATCTTTTTACCAATAACTAAAGCCCGAAAATAGCCTGCGCACCAAAACTAAACTGAAACCGTGCTGCCAACAGCCTTCCATCAGTAGAGTCCAGGCACACAGTGTCATCGCTATCACATAATGGCGACTGACCACGAGTTTGCGTAGAATGCTTTCGTGCGCGATCAAGCTGCACGTGTTGTAATTTGTTGGCTTGCGAAGTGCAACAAGTCATGTCCCGCTGTTATTATAAACATTGACTTCAAGTGAAAGTAGTTTTGCACTGTGAAAACAGCTGTGCCACACCCTTAAGTGTGCGCAAGCCTGTGACTGCGAGTGCGACAAAGGCTGGAGATTGGCTGTACATCGACCAAAAAAAAGTTTTCATGAACAAAAACTGCGAAAATATCAGCTTTGCGGCCCGCTGAAGCTATTCTGTGTGGATAGAGCTTGACAAGAAAATGACCCCGGATACATAGGCATGCGATCGAGGCGTATACAGAAAATTATGAATTTCTTGAAGAATAAATTTTAAGTTAAATTCTAAGACAACCTGTCCCTCTACTTTTCCAATTGTTGACCTAAAGGAACGCAAGTTCATATTTTGCACTCGTGCATATTTGGACAACATTTGATTCGAATAAAGGTGGCTTTTTCTTTCGAGCGGAATCTGAAAGTCATCGTAAGATGTCAGGTCGGCATGAAACTGTGTCGTATAACCAAGGTTTTTAATACATTACTTTTATGGTAATTTTTCCAGGACCAAACCGATATGTTCTAAAATGCGGGTTTCGTGCAACCAGGGGACATATAATCAAAGTTCTACAGTACTATGCAGGTTTGTTGCATTATCACAAATATGCCCCTTTTTCTTTATATTATGTGATACATACTATTTGAATCCGTTTCGAGATTATTCAAGCAAAATCACTATTTGCATAAGGTCATTTACGAGTTATATGCACTGATGCCTGCCGAGATATCGGATGTGGCAGCGATTGCAACCCAACCCTTATAATAAATGTTCAGCGCTGCTGCTCGAGTGATCACTGCCTTAACGAAACTGAAACTAGAATCACCATTTCAATAAAACTGAAAACACGTTATTTCAGCCGTGTTTTTGGGTATGGAGCTTGATGGCTGTCGCGCTTTGCGGTTAAATTTAGGTGCTACGGCGCAGTAAGGCACTGACAAATGAGCTTGCCGCAATGCAGTTCAGTGCAGGATGGCGCAGGCAAACAAGTTTGGCACATGATGGTGCAAATGGCACAGCTGTTTCAACCCTGCAAAAAGGTTGGATGCTGATCGGCAGGTTCACTGAAATTGCTTGTCATTTCAAGCTCAGTGGAATATCAGCAGTTAAAGACCAGAAGATATCGGCTGCATATAAATAAAACAAAAATAAGAAACATAAAAAAAGTGGGGGGCGCATGAAAAACACCTTGGCAGAGTATGCAGAAACTTAGGTCACTAAGCTGATTAAAATAAAACCAAGATAGCAGTTAAAGAAAGAAATGTGACAAGATGCTATTTAGAATCCTTTATCACCCAAACAGATACCAGAATGAACTAAAATGACAGAATTCTTCCTCACATCCATGAGTTGATAATTGGGACAGCTGGTAGTACACGGTTAAGCATTGTCGTCACCATCAACCTAGCTATGACCATTACAAGGCATAGGCCCCTCTCCCCCCTTCCTCCAGATCACCTGGTTTTGTTTGTTGTGGTCGCATTATACCAACGGGCTTTTTAATCTCATCTACAACCAGGCAAACAAGTCTCCCTATGACAAGCTTGCCTTCTCTCCAGTGCTTTGCCACCTACTGCAAACCGCTGTTTTCTCCTGGCACTGCTAAAGATTAGTTTCTTGCATAATAGTTTTCAAACCAGCAGTTTTGCCTTGCCCATTCAATTCAGTTGCCCTATTTACTCATATAATCCTCACATTTTTTCGGTGGAAAACCGATGCAAAGGTGAGAGGGTGCCAGAATTACACGTAGAAAACTTTCCGCAAAAACGTACAGAGCGAAAAAGAAAAAGAAGTGGCCGCAAGTCGGGATTCTCCCACCAGCAACTAACAGCAAGGATTAAGAAGTACTAATTGAAATTGACCTCAACAATAAAAGAAGAAGTTCAACACAAAGCAGGACTTATTTGAGACACAAAAAGTGCAAGCAAATAGTCGAGAATTAAAATACCATACGCAAAGCTTGTGGGCGTTGCGGTTGCGTTCGTCACTCAACAGGAGCCCTCAAAAGGTAAGAAAGCGTAGGATGTCAGTATTGGGCTGATGACTATTTAACAGAATCGTCCGCAGCTTCCTTCTGAAGAAATAAAGTTTACAATCAATCCCAGTCTTAGGCACACGGCAGGCCCAACAAGTCTTGGTGGCTTTCAGCTGCCATCACCAGTAGCGAACACAAAACTCGTAGACTCCGAAGGGCCTACCTGCGGCCTTGTTTAGCGCATTATCAATCACTTTCAACTTGAAAGCAGCCATGTAGCTTCAGTATCGCCCCATACCGTACCAAGATTACCAACACAACATACAAAACACGTCGCAACGCGCACTTGCCGCTTTGGCTTGGATTGGATTAAATCCCCATGCAATAATAGTACGCTTGATGCCTAACAGATGACGCCAGATGGTGCGCGCTATTATCGTTCACTGCTGGAACGAGCAGACGACATTCTTTCACCAATTTTTGGGGGTGCGATAATTACTCGGGGAAAAAACAATCGTACTTTTGTTGGGTGATGTAGGGGGTGCGAGAATTATGCAAGTGCGAGGATTACGGGAGTAAATACAGTATTATGCTTGGATTTTTAGCCCTCGAGATCCTCAGCAAAACTATGTCATCAGTGAGTGACATGTTACTAAAGTATCCTCCATCTACTTTTAACTGAAACTGTTCCCAATTTAGTGCCATGAAAACCTCATGTAAAAGTACAGTGAACAAGATTAGAGAGATAGCATCTTCAAAACCCAACAGGGCCATTTCTTTGAAACAAAGTGGGTCACTGCATGTGCTTTCTGCAGTTGAATGTTATCAGAGTAGGCCAGTGCGTATATTCGAGCCCTTCGAATGTTCGAACGAATATCACAGTATTCGAATAAACTTCCAATGAAATTTGAATTACAGGTAAATTACGAAGTATTTCAAATGAGCAAATAAGTGTATATTAGTCTGCATGTAATCTTGCTGTAAATGTGGGTTCACTGTAGGTAAAATCTGCATTGCTGTGAAGCCCCACTTCAGGGTCAGATGAACAAAATACTTTTTTATCGATTCGTCAATTGGTTTTGGAAGTTTAAGAGACTGGTGTACTTGCTCTAAGTATAGTAAATTTTAAGATGTTACATATTTGTACAGGAAGTCAAATCTTGTCAAAGTAGCTTGCACTTGCTTTGCGCCAAAAAGAACGACATTTACGCATGCCATGTTTCAATTAAAAAAAAATATTGTGCTGGACAAAGATGTTCATTTTTCTTTACGTCAAATATACTATTTAAATTTGATTAGAAATTGTTCAACTAAATCACTATTTACTCCAAATTTATTTCGAACCGAAAAATTGCTATTCGTACAAGCTACATCAGGGCAGTGAACCCAAATGTTAGCATACACAGCAGCCACATGTGCATCAACTGTGAAGAAAAGAAAGTACATTTCAAGGGGAAGGACAACGATGCCAGATGACGCTGTCATGTTGTCATGATGGTGTGTAAATGTGTAGACAAAAGTAACAAAGAAAGACTAAGCTTTTTGGTAGGAGGTGAACTTGTATGACGCAAGGCAAAGATCACAGGCAGTAATACCCCAGTGGCCAGCACAGCCCATAATAAACAATCTGATCTGGGACTGACAGGTGTGAAAACATCAGCGGAAACAAAAAAAGTATGAACCTCGCCAGAAACCTTATTGCATAAAAAATGTAGAATAAGAAAAAAGAAGAGGCAGTTGAGAATGAGCACTTTTGGTTCGCGATTCCCTGCAAGCACAGCAGGTCCCATCGTATGGCCAACTTCTTACGATTGATATCCTATTGTGATCAATAATTATATATCCTGCGACCTTCGAGTCGGCAGTCGAGCATCATAACCGCTAGACCACCACGATTGGCCTGCTGATGTCGTGGCGGTCTAGTGGTTTTGCTTCATGACTTATGACTTGAAGGTCACATTTGTTTAGTGGTTTTGCTGCATGACTGCCGACTTGAAGATCGCAGGATTGAATCCCAGCCATGGCAGCCTCATTTCAAAGAAGGCAAAATGATAGAGGCCCGTGTGCTTTGCTTTAGGTAAACAGTAAAGAACGCCTGGAGGTCAAGGTATTTGGAGCCTACCTCTATAGAAATTCTTCTAATCGAATCATGGTTTTCGGTTGCGAAAATCCAACAACTATGCAGTATTACCACTACATGGGCAGCTTCAATGACGGCGGAGACCCACAGCAGATGTTGACAATGCAGTTGGACTGAGAATTAGGTAGAATGGACAGTTAACGCCAGAATGACACACCACCAATGAGTGAAATACGAAAGGGTAGGCCAACTTCTGTGCTCTACATTTATTCTGCATATGTCACTTCAATGAGTTCTGCTTGCATGCATTCATCTTCAAAAGTATATTCGCATGAATTTCAGAACGACACAAGGAAATCATTGCAATGCAAAAACTTGGAAGGTAAAGCTTGGGTCCTGGGCCCCAGCAAAAAATTGCTTCTTGACACTAGTTAGCTATATTGGCGTTCAATACAGTTTTAATGCAGCGTTCTTAAGAACATTTTGCTCTGCCTCCAATAGTGTTTAGTATGTTGTTCAATCTGGCTAAATTTGGCTTATGAATCAATGTTGGCCTGTAAGCCTCATATAACATAGTGTGACATACGTCCCCGTTTTTAATATTTTATGAACACCTGCAAAATTTTAGCACTGCCTGCGTCGAAATGCTTGTGCTGCCTACATTATTAGACCACAGCAACAATGAATATACAGTAGAACCTCGTTGATACGTTCCCGCTTAATATGATTTCCGGGCTCCTACGCTCGAAACCGCAAAATCTAGAGATGCCCCCATAGGGCTATATGTTGATACCTTCCGCTTAATACGTTCCCGGATAACATGATTATCCGGCAGCAACGTTCGACATTTCGGCAAACTGCAGTCGTTTGATACAATCCTCGGGCAAAAATTCTTATTCAGATGTGGAAAAAAACCGCTCTCGCATGCTTGTAAAGCGCCAAGTGGCAGAGTGCCGCCACACGGCGATGGTAGGTTCTTTGCTGCGTTTAATTGTCATCCCTTCATCCCCCCCGTCTTCTCCAAATTTTACTCAATTGTCCTTTCTGTGCTTTCTTTGAATGCCTGGTCGCCCTCTCCATCACTCCTGCAGCTGACTGTGAACCACACAAAGAAATGTTGCAGCCGTAAAAGTCTTCAAATGGTTTTCAAAAATGCCGTTTATTTTCTGTAGCACAGTGATTTTCTTTTTCAGCTCGCAACTTGGCACGATTTCGCTGAGCACTGCAAAGCCTTCATCCGTAGCACGGTATGTGAAAATGTCATTGTCCCACACTACAACAGCTGAGAGAACACTACGGAGTTAACTATTGCTTCGCCACGCCTCCGCTGCACAACGTGCCGCTATATCTGCTTCCTCTCTCCTGACCTTGTCTCACACGGTGCTGGTCTCTGCAAGCATGTTCTTCCTATAGAAGATTTACAAGGCCACGCGTATATTAGCCATGCACCTTTCAGCGGAAAAAATGCAAACGTGACGCACCTATTTCCACCCGCTAATTGCCATGTCATTAGCACTGGATGCGTGCCCCTGCTGTGTTATCGACCTCCCCTAGAAACGAGCGCCGCCCAATGAGAGTTGTCATCAGACCTCAGTGATCGGCGCTACTTCGAGGAGAAAAAAAGAATAAAGAATATGCAAGTCAGGCCCTGTGCGAGGCTGCACGTTGCTCAGTAGTTGGCGATTCGAAACAGTTGCATCCAGCATGACAGCGGGAGAAGTGCCAGCCCTTGTCAATCAAGGTGAAGCTGAATATCGTTTGGCGGCAGCTTGCATCGAGTATACAGAGCACAGCAAAGACGACCCTGTGGCGTGAGCGTGTGGCGACGACATCGATGAGGAGTTTCTCTCCACCAACACCGATGCACCCTTTGCTGGGTTCGTCTCGATAGACAATATCGCCCCGACTTGCGAGCCTCAAAATGTCGTGAGATTGTCGCAAAGGTAGTGTGGGGTGACGTAGCGAAGGAAGTGGAGGAGGAAGCACCGAAAGACAGCGGCGAGAACGAAAGCGGGCGCCGACTGGTTAACTTCGCTGAAGCTTTTGCTGGAGTGGAAGCGTAAAAAGCTTCTTTTGCACGTAAAACAATAAAAATGCGGACAAGTGTCGACAACGTGTGCAGAAAAAGCTTTTCTTCTTGTCCGGGGGCGAGAGAAAGCAGCAGAAAATTACATTTATTAAAAAATGATTTTTTTTTTTTTTTTTTGCTCTTACACCTCTAGAGGAACTGGCCAGCCTCAACTTTTGCTGGATTCGGATCGTATGTTTATCTTAAAACGTATAGTTTATCTTCAAAACGTATCAACGAGGTTCTACTATACTGCGGCTGCCTTTTTAAGATCATCAAGCTGGAAATTCCAACGTGAAAAAGTTGTATGCATCATCTTCTGACTAAGCGTACGTCTCTAATGCTGTGTGTCTAAACAGCTGCGAAACAAGAACACTAATAGGGCATCCACTCTTTCAGGCAGTCATTAAGTTAAGCACACTGCAGATCAGGTAACCACCATTTGTAACTGGCTTGCATATTACACTCTATGCAACTTTATTGCTTTGCTCATTGAACGGTGCACAACGTAAGTGTTTTGAGGAAAATTGTAAAAGGCTGATGTATTCTCCCCATCCCTGATAGGTCTTCAAAACCGCCGCGGGTACGCAGTAATAAGGTCCCGACAGCTTAATTGTGAAGAGTCGCTGGATTAAGTACTCACCCTTTTGAAGGCTAGTGGGCAGGCCTAACCGCCTTAGGTGAGGTTCCAGAGAGTGCTGAAACTGAGGCAGCGGGCCTTGGTCCAGGAAGACCCGCTCTGTTGCCCGGAAGCCTGCTCGTGCATAGTCTGGGTCAGAGAAGTCATCAAACCACCTGGAAGGAGAAATAATTTATCAATGACGTACTATTTACTACTAAGCTGAGCATTGAACGTGGCCGCAGAAGTAAGGGAAAAGTTCAACACCTCAGTATCTCCCCCTCCCCCAATTTTGATTAAGGCCCCAGTAGATAGGTGATAATCCATGTAGCATAGGGAGGTGGGCGAGTTGGATTTGATGCATCTTGTAAAGACCTGCATGAATCGGATGGAGCATGAGAACAGAAGAACACAGTACAAGCTCTGAACACCACTCGAATGGTGTCCAGCGTTTGGTGAACACAGTGCTCATACAGTGTCCATTTTCAAGCTCCATCCCATTCGCGCTGATTTTTAGAACATGTAGGGACGTATAACAGGCATTTTGATCCAAGAGAAAATCAAAATGACTGCCCCCTTTTTTTTATGCAAGAAACTGAAACGAAATCTTGGCGCATGCTTTGTGCAAGTGATAAGAGTTAACCAAAATGCAGTGAGACGTGGCAGGCTTCACCTTCTGATCTATTCAGCACAACTGACGCTGCGATATTTTCATTGCAGTACACAATGTGTGCACACACGTGCCAACCAAAGTCTGACTGGATGAGGCTAATTCTGTCCAACGTTCAGATGAGCAAACTAAAAGTGTTGAGTGCACATGAAAGTTCACAAGATCGAGTTAGTACTGTCATTCTCAATTTGAAGTAACATCATGAAACAAAGATAATCTCACATGAAAAGGCATTGCGAAATAGTTCCGTGTAGATAGTTCAAAATAGAAAATATATCTGCGTGAAACTCATTAAAAAGCTACACGCTACACAGAGGGCCTCCTGAGGCAACCAGCAGAATGACTTTTATGAATTTGTTTGTTCACAGCAATGTTGAATGTGTAAAAGTTTTTTCATTATTCCAAACACACTTTTAGTGAAATACAAGCTCGAGACCAGGTGGCCATCTGCATCCTTGAAGCAGTAAGGCAGTTCTCTATACAATATAGATGCTGCAATATTATGCTTTACTAAACGGCAGGTAATTCTTTTCGCTCTCAGAGTTCTTTATTTTACTGTGGAACCTTGTTATGCGTACCTGCCAAATGGCAGCATAACACTCAACTAACAAGCAGAGCGGAGTACATTATGTACAATTGTGCAAAACTTAAAAGCCTTACAAAACTATGACTTTCAAGTGTCTCGGCAGGTTTCGCATTCAAGGAGAGATCCATTTGCCATGAAATTAGCTGTGCAGTTTTGTTGTTCTGTGCCCCTCATTCCAGACGATACTTTACAGAGCCCCTAACTCAAGATTCTAAACACTGCATGAAAGGAGACGAGAATAAACAAGCCTTACAGTCATTTGTTTGAATAATGGGTTCTATATGATAACACAACCTTTTTACTTGTGATAATGAGACTGTATAGTAAAATAAAGAATGAATAAAGAACGCGATGAGATTGTGACATTATTCATGTCATGACCAGTAAGTCCTATTCGTCAAACCATCTTGCCCTCCTGTACTAACTGTAGTGTACCCAAAGTTAAGGAACGAAGGCGACGACACACACACACACCCACACCCACCCACCCACACACACACACACACACACACACACACACACACACACACACACACACACACACACACACACATGTAGATAGATGCATAAGCGCTTGCAGTACGCAAAAAATTGCTTCACATTAAACCAGAAACTAAAATAAAGGCCCGTGCCATTGAGCATTACAGGCCAGACTGAATTTACAGAACTCACAAACTAAAACTTCCCTTCTTTACCGATTCAAGAAAGGATCCAAATTTGTTTGATTCAGTCCAGCACAGCTGTGTAAGCCTGCCAAGTCTCTTAATTTTCCACGCAAGCAGAATAACAAGGTGCAAAGTCACAAGTGCGCATGTCAAAAAGAGTCATGCAAAATTTTAAATTTAGAAGCATGCAAGGATATCGAAGCCTCACTTACACACGAACACAGATTCTTTCCGATGAAAAACACTTCTACAGCTAGCCAAGATAAAATGAGCTTGCTTTTGCACAGTATCCAGCCTAGTGCTTCGAGAAATCTGTTAGCACCCACATGCAGCAACGCGCGTGACCACATGCACCTCTTTCTTTCTTACTCTGATTACATGCTCCCTAAGTCGGTCATTAACGCATTCGTCAAGCTGGCTGATGTACATTGTTTCACGGGTCATACAAATGGAGTGAACAGCTCCAACAGAGCATTCAATGAAAGAGTTTTCATCACTACTCGCCCAAAGTAGACACATTGTGTTGAAAAAAAAAAAAAAAACTTACTAGATATTGTCACGAGGTTGTGATACACGCAGCACTTGAGAGGAAGCACGCAGGAGTCAAGGCGGTGTCAGGCGAACTGTTTATTGGGCGAACTTGTGCCCAGCAAAACAGGGCCAAACACAACTCACAGCAACAGCGGCGTGAACAGCCGTCGGCCGACGGAAAAAAAAAAAAGACCCCCAGTGGCGCACTGCGCCGGCTTTTTATACACGCGTCGTAACGCGTTCCAAAGTGGCATACAGGATAAACGCGGCCTGTGTTGCGCTTAACAGAAAGTGATAGCGTCTTCCTTCGCAAACGAAAAGAACCGCACGTGTCAGTTTTTTATACACGCGTCGTAACGCGTTCCAGAGTGGCATACAAGATAAACGCGGCCTGCGTTGCGCTTAACAGAAAGTGATAGCGTCTTCCTTCGTAAACCAAAAGAACCGCACGTGTCACTACCCCCCTCTGAAAAAGCATCGTCCCGATGCTTAAGACAGAACATAAGAGAGAGTACATGCAATAAATTACATTAACAATGCGTCACAGCTAATCAGCGCGCGTAATAAGGTTTAAGTCGCACCACGTGTACGACTTCGGGTCGTGCACGGCGTCGTTGGGATGACGTTAAGCCATCGGGCACGACCTCATAGTCCAGTTCACCACGACGTCGGACTACCTTGTAGGGTCCAAAGTAGCGTCGCAGGAGCTTCTCAGACAATCCCCGTCGTCGTATCGGCGTCCAGACCCAGACAAGGTCACCTGGTTGGTATTCGGTGTGGTGTCGTCGAAGGTTGTAGTGGCGCCTGTCGACCGTCTGTTGGCTCTTGATACGCAGGCGGGCTAGCTGTCGAGCTTCTTCAGCGCGATCCAGGTAGCTGGCGACGTCGAGGTCTTCTTCGTCCGTGCCGACCGGTAGCATGGCGTCAAGCGTCGTTGTTGGGCTCCGTCCGTAGACGAGCTTGTATGGAGCAAACTGCGTCGTTTCCTGCACGGCCGTGTTGTACGCGAAGGTTACATACGGGAGTATGGCGTCCCACGTCTTGTGCTCGACGTCCACGTACATGGCCAGCATGTCGGCGATGGTCTTATTTAGACGCTCGGTGAGGCCATTCGTCTGTGGGTGGTACGCGGTGGTTCGGAGGTGGCTTGTCTGACTGTACCTCAAGATCGCTTGCGTTAGGTCAGCCGTAAAGGCCGTACCTCTGTCGGTGATGAGGACCTCGGGGGCTCCGTGGCGGAGGACGATGTTCTCAATGAAGAACATGGCGACCTCGGCGGCAGTGCCCTTGGGCAAGGCCCTTGTTTCGGCATAGCGGGTGAGGTAGTCAGTCGCTACGACAATCCATTTGTTGCCAGAAGTTGACGTCGGGAACGGCCCCAGTAAGTCCATGCCGATTTGTTGGAATGGCCGTTGAGGTGGTTCGACGGGTTGCAGAAGTCCGGCTGGCCTAGTTGTCGGCGTCTTGCGTCGCTGACAGTCTCTGCATGTTTTTACGTAGTGGGCGACGTCGGCAGCGAGGCGAGGCCAATAGTACTTCTCTTGTATTCGTGACAGTGTGCGGGAAACACCAAGATGTCCGGCTGTCGGGTCGTCGTGTAATGCTTCCAGAACCTCTGGACGTAACGCTGAAGGTACCACGAGGAGGTGGTCGGCGCGGAGCGGCGAGAAGTTTTTCTTCAGGAGGACACTTTTTATACACGCGTCGTAACGCGTTCCAAAGTGGCATACAAGATAAACGCGGCCTGCGTTGCGCTTAACAGAAAGTGATAGCGTCTTCCTTCGCAAACGAAAAGAACCGCACGTGTCAGTTTTTTATACACGCGTCGTAACGCGTTCCAGAGTGGCATACAAGATAAACGCGGCCTGCGTTGCGCTTAACAGAAAGTGATAGCGTCTTCCTTCGTAAACCAAAAGAACCGCACGTGTCAATATGCAAAACTACAATAATGCAGCATTCCTTATCACATGAGAGAGAATAAACATCTTTTTTGTTATTCTTTAGGTCAGTGGTTGTCAGCCATGGATGTGCTGGGGACCCCTTGTGGACTGGTTGAGGTGATGGGGACCCATTGGAGGGGAGGGTAAATTAACACAACTAGAGCGTTAAACAGGTGCCTTTCATTGCTACCAAAAACATCAAACAAACCTGCCCCCTTCATTTCGGACAGTTCATCAATTCGTGGCACAGTCACTTTTAAACAGAGTTGCATATATAAAATAAAAAAAATGTAAAAAAAGCAGGTGAAGGCGTAGCAGATCTTAAAAATGGCTTCGCGGACCCCCATTTCAGAACCACTACTTAGGTGTTGTCTTTGGGGTGGTCTCCTCCTTCCAGATGCTGTGCTGAAGCTGTTGGGCGAGCTGCTAACCATGCTGATGGAGTCACGACAAAACATACGGAACAAGCTCTATTACCAACTACTTTTCAATTTAGTCCCATTAACTCTGTCATGTAAACAAATGTGTTTGAAGCATGAACAGGGTCATGCATTTCACATTACTGCTGACCGCTCACATGAATGCATGTCACCGTTTGTGTCTGGCTTAACACTGACTGACCAATTAATTCGGTTTGCTGTTAGAGCACCACGAAATGACCTACCTGCCTCAAGTGTGATTAGTAGCACCTAGTTCAGAATAACGATTCCAGAAGTGCCTTCTGTCCACGCAGTTTGGTGTGATGTCCGTCCAATCTGGCACCTGCCCACTAATTCAAACTCTACTTAATTTGAACAGTTTAGGAGGCTTCTTCACGTTCATATTAAGGATCTTTTACTGTAGTTCTTTATCAAATGCGTAACTAGGTTAGCAGTGTCTTGAGTGCTTTGTTGTGCCTTAAATTTTTTGTTATTTTTCTTAGACGACTTCTGTTGTTGAAAGGAGTCCCATCTGTCATTATACCACAGGAATTCTTAATAGTAATGTCGTTAGCGTTGCTGTTAACTAGTGAGAATCGGTGTTGTACTGGATAGATAGATTCAATGGATTGATGTGGCTGTACCCGTTAGATCGGGCGGCGGCTAACGCCACCTAGCCGTAATACCTAGTGAACCAACAACTAGATTTATCTTTTTTTTCTTTAAATAGTCAAGTTGAGGACTGGTACTTTGCAGTGAAGGGTTTAATTTTCACTCGTGCCTTGACTTCAGCCACCAATCGGATAACCTCCTTCTAGTTAATTCTACCCGCTTAAAGTCTGCTAACCCTTGGTGATGCCATGCCCCCTGGTGACGAGGTTTGGTAGGAGCAGAAAGAGCAGAGCTTTTCCTCTTTGGGAACTGGAATTGTCATCTCTCATAAGAGGTCTGGGGTGGCGACTACGGTACTCATTCCTGCAAACACACGTGGCAAGTTGAACAAAAATCCATGACAACACATTTTTTTTTACTTTTTCACATACCATTAATTCTGCTGCAGCAGGTTTAAGTGGCTCGTTCTGATGGAGTGCGTGGAACTTAAAGCGGTTGGAGTGCGCGGAACTTGACGGATTGAGTGAGCAGAATTTGAAGTAGCCGTTGTGAACCAAGTTGAAAGCCGTTGTGAACCAAGTTGAAACTCGGCAACGAAAAAGAAGAAGCTGGCACGAACGTGAACCAACAAACGATAAATGACTGAAGCACCAGTTCGACGCAGAGATTGTTTGAAGCAGGCGGGAGACAGAAAAAAGAAAAGAAGAGTCACAGCAGTGGCCAGAGGAAGACGAACCACGCATCAGGGCAGTCGGGTTTCGGACCCGAGCCTAGGCTGCTGTCTCCGTCGACCGGTGACCCGTGGGGCTCCAGGACTACCTAGCTGCGCCGACATTCCCGTGCCCGTGGACAGGCCCGAGCAGTCAAAGTTCTGTCTTGAGCTCAAGCGAAGCTGTCCGGTTGGGACTCTACCTCGGGCCTAGTGCGTCAAAGGCGGTGTCAGCTGGTCCAGCATCTGCCGGCAGCCTAGCAAAGCTGCTTCTCCTACGGCTCGTGTAGCTGCCCAACGTTGGCACCAACTATGGTGACGACAGCATCAACTCTTGTGCTTCATGCCAGGCTTCCACTCAATGACGTGGGCGAGACCCTGCTCCTTCGCAACTCTCCACGACCAACTCTGTGCAGGGACTGAGCGGTAGGACTTTATGATTACTGACTAAGTTAGAGTGTGTACATTTCTTTGTAACCGTATCCGAGGAATAGTACCAGATATATAGGTGTTACGTGCTCTCTAACTATTGTTATTAAATGTTTGCTTCAAACGGACTCGTCCTTCGAGAAGTGTCCTGAGTTGAGCCTTGGACCTCCCAAGTGCATAACCGAACCTGTACATCGTGCAAAACAAAAAACCACTATGTTACACTAGTCCCTAATTAATTTCATAATCAATGCACACATTTTGGCAAGTTCCCTTGGTAAAACGTTGCCTTGTCGGAAAATGCGGCTGATTTGTAGTCGAGGCTCCCGAGAACACGCAAGTCGCACATTACAGCTCAATGCACAACCTGGAATTCACAATAAAGTCTCAAAGTCAGCTGAAAATCACTCCCGCTTTTCTCTACAAATAATGCTATATGCTCGAAATCACAGCGCAATTGACTCAAGTTCCCCGCCATTGGCTGGTTTGAGCATGGTTCAGTCGGGAGCCACTGAGAAAGGCCACCACGTGTCTACGCGTGCCCACAATTGCACTAAAAATTTTTGTGTCCTCACCCCCTGAGGCATTCCTCTGTGCTAGCTTCGAGCATTTTCGTCAGAACAAGAGAAGAGAAAGCTATCACAGCGGGCAACAAATCTCTGTAACTCCGCTTGTACTGGAAAGGCTTTAAAAATTTTTGTCGTGGCTGATTCGTGAGGCAATAAACAACTTTAGTGAAGCCATACCATAGTGTTGCAGGGCCCCTTTAAAGCTTGCACATTCCTCACTGTTTCTCAGCAGCACATTCACAGGCAACGCTTAAATAGATCCACTGGTTAAAGACACACAAACATCCATGAGAGGGCCCCCACTCACTGCAGCACTTTCTCCTTGGGCGCATTGGTGAAGAAGAGGCCACACTGGCCACGCAGCCGCTCGCTCACTTTGTGCAGGTTCTCACGGTGGTCCTCGTCAATGAACCGACCCAGGGCAACGCTCATAACCTTGTTCTTGCCAAAGTAGAACCTGGAAACCACCATCATTCAATTATGGGTAAAGCAAGATCAAATCTTCCCTCAATAACCTGTCACTACACTGACTGTACTTTTCGGATATTACCCATTATGCATCAATTTCAGTAAATTTATCTTTATTAATTACCCTGTCTGTTACTTCCCTAGCTATCCCCCCCCCCCCTTGTATAATGCAACAGAACCTTTAGGACTGTCTGACACAGACACGAGAATTTCAGCCCTTAAACTACACTCTCACCTCTCAACTATGCTCCTCAAAGAAATGGCCCTGATCAGTAACCAGAAATGCTTTACAACATACATTGCAATTTACAAAAGTATGAATGCTAGCTTTTTAGGGCATATGCACCAGCCTGGAACAAATTCTCGATATTTCACATGTTTTTGTGATGCTGCGTGTCACCAAGTGCAAGGTGAAAATCCTTTCCAGTTCTACTTATTTGTCTAAAAGAACACAGTATTATGCATTCAAACACAAGAATATCTACAAAGGCAATGTTTATGGCTGTACACATTTAAACAGAAGATCTTGACAATGGTGCTTGAGAATACGAGCAATCCAGCTCAATATAACACTTGAAAATCCTTTTCAGTGGGAAAGATCAGCACGATGGCAGCTGTCAATGCATTCTTTTCTGCCCTAGACTGTAACTTCTTGGACTGAAAAATTTCGATCCACATGACTTATGAGTGGAACATTGTTGATGATCTATAAATATTAAGTGAAGCCTTTCAAAATGCATTGAAGAAAGTATCAACGCAGCAGCTCAGTTCATGCGTTGTAGGCCCCGCAAGAATAAGCGCCAAACTCCACATTTCTTTTCACTTTCAGCAGTTTAATCACTTCTTAAGCATCATCAAACCGAGTTTTATATCCCTAGTCTATGTCACTGTCTGCTTATCTTTCGAAACACTCCAGCCGCTTTTGTGGCACTTCTCAACCACTGCAAAACAGATGTTGACAGCAACACCGAATGCAAAGACAGGAGCATCCCTTTCACCACTTTCTTCAAGCCACGTTTTATGAAATGAGAACGTAGTCGCTTAACTCCAGTCTCGTGGAGAAAACGGTTCTTTAGGAGGAAACAAAGCAGTAAGCCGACATTTGCTTATTGAGACAGGAAGTACTAAAATAGTTATCTACTTAGTATTCCTAAGGAGAGATACATGTATTTCTGTAGTCATTAAACTCAAATGAATAGCCTGGATATCACGGGGGATGTTTTCATGATCCTGAAACCAGCGAATAGCTGTGTCCTTCCCTTTTGTCAGGTAATCTTTCCTGTCAACCACATATTTTTCTGCTATGCAGAAAATTTTCAGCTATGTTTGAAACTTGATATTCCATTTCCTACTGTGTGTAAGGCCTAAACTATTTGGCCTGCATCTTCACAGGAGCAACTCCCAGTCGGGGGAAGTGATGCTTTGCCTCGACAAAACTATAAGTCAAAACAGTGGCTGAAGCAAAACATTGTGTTCAAAAATTTTTCATGTAGCGTGCACATAACAAATCGCATAAAAGAGAATTCTGTTGCAAAGGAGGCATATCAAAACTACATTTGATGCACTTTTTTTTTCCTGAAGCCAAACATATAGTCGACCCACCTAAGTGTTCACCGAATACTCTTTTTGAACAGTCAAATTTACGATTTTAGAAACACCCCTGCACTCGATCTTACGTAACACATAAGGCTGTTGCAACCTTGGGCTGTTAAACGAATCTTTGCTTAGTTTTGTACCCATCATGTTTATACGTCCACCGTAGGGCTGCTCATTTAGTACTGTAGGGGTTTGAGGCTGAAGCTAGCCTGAGAAATCCTCAGGGAATAGGGGAAGACTGACAAAAACCACGTTTACTGATCAGAACACAGGCCGCAACTGTCTACTGCCAGAGGCTGCTGCGTGCCACGAGCGCACCCGCGACTGTCACTGTCCTCTTCTTTCTGCGCTCGGCGCACTAGCAGCCGCCGCTCTCTTACTACTTTGATATACACAATGGCAAAATTAACCGCGCAATATGGTGGCACCAAAACCCATCCATAAAATAGTCAATAAAGTTATATTATTCCTGTAGTTTTCATGAATGAAAATTTTCAAAAGAACACAGACAAACGGGATCACAAGACAGACACACCGAAGACCATGCCCCATGCCTAACAATTACATAAAAGCCATGCTTAAAAAATATGCTTCTTTCTGAGCCGACTTTCATGAAGCTTTCAGAGCTTATGCATTTTTAGAGTTAATTATACAGTTTGTAAAATATTAAAGATTATTTTTCTTTAACAGTGTACTTGATTGGGCTCGTTGGTGCTGCATGATAGAAGACAATTAAAACAGCATGAAGAACGCCGTATTTGGGGTCGCTTGTCGATTGTTTGGTCCTTCTCGCTGTTTCAGTCGTCATTTTTATATTCCTAACAGAAAGATTTTCTTCTAAACTGCAAGAGTCTAAACTGTAGGAGTTTATCTGTAAAAAAGCATACCTTACGTTTGCGAATATAAAATCCTTTTCATAGCACTGCTGCTGTACGCTGATCTCGTGCTGTTCATTTACTCACTGAACAACTACAACTCAGCCTACACATAAAAGAAGGTCATCACCACATAAGCTGGGATAAATTAAATACATTCCGCTAAAAAGAAAAAGATTTTGGCTTGTTTTTGTTATGCAACGTCTCATACAGTAGGATGCGAAAAGTCACCAATATCAACACAGGCGTAAATTGAGCCCGCATAAATGGAAACCCAAGTAGTGATGAACTTCCCTAGACACAATTGCCATATACCATAGATAACTTGTACAGCTTAGGAGAACTTGTTGATATACTCAAGATTTTTCCAAAATTTTATTAGTTGCTCAGAGGTCCCACGAGGGACTTCACATGAGAGGTTGGCAAATATAATACGCCGAAATTATGGACGACCATTCCTGTCTAAATGTGCGTTATTCTGCTGGCATTATCCAGGTGTCTAACAATTTTATTTTTTTCCAATTTACCAAACAGTTACAGGTTTTTCATAACGATTAAAAGCCAATTGCATGATTGTCCCGTCTGCTTGGAAAACTCTGTCCCCTGGAAACAAACACACCAGTGGCAAAAAATAATAATAAAAGAAATCAGGCACTCGTATAACATAACTAAAGATATTTAAGTTCACATTAAGCTCTCAGTTTACACCAAGAAGCTACAGTCATCCACTGCCTTTTTTTTTTTTTTTTTTTTGCGTGCCTCTTCTAGCTGCTCCCTCTAGTTGCAGCAGAAGGAGCGACATTGTGAGTTTTCGATCAATGGTAATGTTTATTTTTGTGATGGTCCCACAGACTGCCATCAGTTTCCATGACCTCACCAGGTTTTTTTTTAGAAATTCTCCAACTTTTCTTGAAGGGTCTAAATTTCCTGAGTTTTCCAGGTTGGTAGACACCCTGGTTATGCACCAATAAGCCCAAGCTGCTGTTTTGGCAGTTGCACTGCAATAAGTACAGTGCAGTGTAGCTTCATTTACCCATATTCACTCGATTGTAACACAAGCATAATTAAAACCCAAGATTCCATTGTGTCAAGGAAGAAAATAAAGACGAAAATAAAAGAATTGTGTGCAGCGTGTGACTTTTTAGACAACTTGAATTTTGGTATTCAGTTGTAAGGCATGGGTCTCCTTCAGGTAGCAAAAAACTGAAAACAAACCAACAAAAAAAATGTTTAAACCAAATGTCAAAACACGACTATGTGTCATATGCTGCTGTAAAAGGAAAAAAGTCATGCCAGACTGAGTGAACAATTTGAACGAGTTTTAAAGGAATTGTGAGAATTCAGACACAATTTCAACTAAGTGAACAACTTGGATGAGTTTTAGAGGAATCGTGACAAATCAAACACAATTTCATAATAATATTACGTTGCTGAGAACAAATACGTGTCTCCTATACAGCATTATCTACAAATGCAGCACAAAATATATTTTACCACTGTTTTAAACATTCCTGCAAGGACTCACCCAGAAAGCAAACTGCCTAGTGATGTAGTCATCAGCTAAGGAAACGTTACTGAAAGTACATCACAAGTTTTGGCAGTTTATCTCAGTAATGTCAGACTGCAGCGGCCTTTATGGCTGAGACGTTTCAGAAAGTTTGCTTCTCAGCGTCCTGTACTGCCAGCAAAATTGTGAATTCTAGTTTGGTTGTAGACTTCTTAGTGCATCCGTATTACGGGTAACCGAAGTTATGCATGTGATGGGCAATGCTCGCAGCGACAGCTGATGATGCAGAGTCCAACTGGCAACCCCAAAAGCCAACGTTACAGCAATTTACCGGCTTCACTATTTGTGTGAAGCATGCACAGAGATAGAATGCCCAGTTAACAGACTCTCACAATTTTCTTTTGAGGAGAACACTGATGCAACCCAAAAGAAAAATTCCAAACGTGTTGCAGCCGGACAAAACGCCACCACATGTTGACGCTGGCTATGCTGCTACTGTCAATAGCCATTAAACTGGTATCTGAAAATGTTATTAAGTCTACAGACAAGCTAAAGCTTCCTATTGTAGGCACTGTACTGTGTAGTAGACATGTAAGCACTTCAGCTCTCACCATCAAGCGGAAGTGCCAACACTGACACGCACAATCAGTGCAGTTTCACATCACATAGAATGAACAAGAGGTGTGCTCCATATATACATGGGGCTTGCATACATTTACAATTGACTACTGTCCGACCTAAATAAGGACCAGCAAAATGTTACATCATGCCACTGACATGTTACACACACGCACACATACACACATACTACTTGATAAAATTCATTCATAATTTCATTGCCAGTTCATAAAAGCAGAAAAAGCAGCTTATTAAAGGGGCCCTCCAACACTTTTTAAGCACCTATTTTTTGTATGCGTTTTGCGTAGACCGAGGGCTGGGGATAGTTTTAGCATAGGTCCAAGCACCGATATCAAATCATTTACTATTTTATTCGTGCAATAAAGTCATCTC